TAAATTAATGATATAATTTGACGTACGACAATAATATGAGGTTGGTGCAAAGACGTCAAGGTATGCGAGGCACCGCAGATATAAGGAATTTCGTAAATTCTTCTCAAACCCACCCACACACACACAATAATATGAAATGTATGTAATGTAAAACGTCTGATATCGTATGTAAGGACTCATATAATATTATAACCATATCTACACAGCTCTATAACTTAAATATATATGTCGCATCCATAACGCGTCATTGTACGTTTTACGAAATGGACAGGGAGGCCGTAATTTTACGGAAAATAATTGACCGGAATGATAAAAAATACGGAAAGTAAAATTACGGACCGTAATACTGCGGAACGTAAAATAACGGAATTTAGTTGTTCAAACCATAATTTTGTGGAACGTAAATTTACGGAACCAGAAAAATACGGAATGTAATATCACGGATAGTATAATTACGGAACCAGAAAAATGAGGAATGTAATATCACGGATAGTAATACCCTGGACTGTATTATCCAGGAACGTAAAATCACGGACCGTAATTTAGCGGAAAGTAAAATGACGGAATTTATAATACCATAAACCAATGATTCTCAACATAGGTACATCTAATTACAAAATGGTCGAATCAACTTAGGTTTTTTTTAAAATCTTTTATAAATTATTTATTATTAGCAAAATTTACGACAGTTGCGAACATATAATTTTTATCTTAAATGGAAGGCACAAAGAGTCCCTCCTAAGTCCTAACATGACTTTTTGATAAAATGAAAATACATTTTTGAGGTTAATTAACTACCTACCTAGCTATTTAGTTTAAAATATAGGTACCACATAATTAAATACAATGATTTTGAAGTTTTTGAACCATTTTATAATATAAATATAAACAAATCAACCATTTTTTAGTCTCGAAATGTTTTGATTTTTAGGTAATAAATTCATAAGTTTAATTTGGAAGATGTCAGGGAAGGCCGAAATGAAAAAAAAATACTTTAAAAATCAAATAATATCTATTATCAATTCAAAATTAATAATAATAAGTTAGGTACCTATACATACTACCTAAATGCAGAAAATATTCAATGTCAATACAAACATCACCACCATTCTAGACATAACTTCATATGACTTAAGACATTTTGAAATTCGTACTTGTTTAATGTTTTATAATAAAGTGTAGGTATTTATATTTTGTTGTCATGGATCTATTTAACTAATAACTAAATAACAGACCCTATTCACTATTCAGTATCTAATTAGTGTTCAGTAGGTATTTCAGTTAAAATGTTAAGTAGGTACCTATCTATATTACATAGTATGTATTCTTTTACATTTTTAAAAACTTTATAAATTATAAATCAACCGGTTTGAATTATGTTAGTAAAAACTTGAAACAAGT